TCAACTTCTACATCTCTAAGAGTTATGGCATATCCATTAGTGATAATTATGATACTGAGTGGGAATGCATGAATATGCAATTAGAAGTCTTGAATATAAGGGGTATTAGAAATAATTAATCTTCAATATAGGCCTTTAGGCATAATTAGCCAAGAAATTATTAAGCGAACTTGAGCTCCACTTGAAAATTAAATTCACATCAACTTCAATTTTTATCATGAAATTGTCGTACTCGCATGTACGAAACATCAATTCTAATCAATAAATGCTTCTAAATGCATGCTTGAAGCATTATAAATTACCAAAATGCCTGGGTAATTAACATTTCAAAATTTCAAATGTAAAAATTTTAATCAAAATATGTGCATTTAGCCGAATTTTAGTTCTACTCGACTAGTATTTAAATTCAAATATCAATCATTTTCAATAAAATATTGTACTTGTTTGTACATGAAATATATTTTAATCTATAAATTCATTTATATATAGGCATTTAAGATAAGAAATTGCCTAAATGGCATGTATTTAAGATATTTAAGTTAAAATCAAATTAATTTTAATCAAATTCTGTGTAAATATAGGGGGTTAAGCAAATTAATTTTTCATAATCATATTAATATACCATATCTAATCAAACATTTCATTTTTATTAGAGCAACCCATGCTGGCCACTAAGAGCACAGCAATAGGCTACCGAGGCCAAGTCAGTTATAAATATAAAATAAATATAAAAAAAAATATAAAAATGAATATATCCTACTTTCATTCGATTTCGAGATATCTTGACTTGGCCTCATACTTACTTTAAATTTTAGCTGCAATATGAGTACTCCTTTATCAAGCTGTATCTGATATTCCATTTAGCTGTAATTATCCATATAGTTGCCACCATCCATTCTGCCTAAATTCACCATTCATTTCCACCATTGCCTGATTTCACCATTCATTTCCACCATCCAAATGGGTATATAAGGGGGCCCATTATAATCATTTTCTTAATAATTTTTTAGGTTACCAGAGGAATAGGAGAAGTAAATAATCCGATTGAGGTGGAGGGAGTAGTAGGAACATGAAAAGAACATAGTGGAGGAGTATTTAAATTTGAGGAGACACATTGAGTAGCTGTAGTAGGGCAATGCTGGATCGTTGGCTAGGGAAAATATTAAAATGTTCCACAAAAGGAAACCAATTTATCTGTTCTTACCATTTAGGTTGCATGTACTTGGAAGGGGATCTACCCTGGGATTTTACAAAGAATTCAGGATTGAAATCAAATGGAATTGAAACTATGGGTAATTCAGCACAACTTGAGAATAAATCCTGAAGAGGGAGGGTTGCTCATTCAAAATTGATCCGTAATTCCGTCGGACCTTATTGAAGGTCCCTAGTAGTATGGTCGTCCATCATTTTTGCTTAGGCTGAATCCGAACTCTGAGGAGGGATATCTCAAGTTGATATACAACAACCCAGGGCATTTAGAAATTTATAGAGAATCAGATAAAGATCAGGGGAATTAAGGTATTCCATGGGGAAATAAGATATCTACTCTTATCAGTTAGGTTTCATTAAATTAGCTAGAGGTGTGCATTTGATATCCAAGATATCTAAAAACTATTTAAATGCAATAAATGTAAATAGTTAATGCAGGGTAAGGACCAGGTAAATCATTCATTTCACTTTTATTTGTATTCTACATAACCATATTTGTATTCCATTTACTAGATGATTTAAGATAACTACTCCCTTCACCTCCACCATTTAGAGAATCTCAAATGTAAAAATGGCTAAATGCCATTCGAGTAAGCCTATTAGCGATTATTTTATTTAATTTGGTCTTACATTTTATATAGGTACCCATTTAGAAATCACTACTACTACAGCTACTCCTGAGAACAGAGAACCTCCTCCACTACTATACTGTTTGAATAAATAATTTTAATTTACCTTAACAATTTAACATTAATTATCTAATCTTAATGGTTACCCTTTTCAATTTACATTTCACATTTAATTGAAATTCAATCTCGAATTATTTCGATCTAACTAAATGCATCCCATCCCAGATATATTTGCATTTACAGAGTACTATACATCCCTTAGACTTTGGCTTTGGAAATTAAATGATTCAATTCATACATGAGTAGAAACGAATCAAAGACACCCCAGAATCACCAAAAACCAAACCATATTCGTTTACCCATGTACTTCATGATCATTAAAAGTTCCAAATCAAAGTAAGAGATATATAGTGACTACAGTCACAGAATATGAAGTACATAATTGTAGTAAAGTACGAGAGTTTCAAATACAAGTGTCCTGCAACTAGCCATGTAGATAAGAGTCATAGAATATCGAACCTATTAAGTATATGCATTTACGTATTCCCCATAATTAATTACTTATCTTTAATTTATAAATGCGCCTATTTATAATGCAACCAACCAATGATTTATTAATCAATGTAATAAGATACGGATTAATAGTTAACCTTAACTTAAATTATTATTAACCTATAGTTAATAGTCAAATATTAATTAAAGATAAGTATATGTTAAGTAAATATATTATAAATTAAGTTAATTATATATAAAGGTGCAATTAAATTGGTGTAATTATAGATAATGGTATATGATTAACAGTTTCAAAAGTAATCTTGTTTCGATTATTTCTAGTCTTTCTGCTACTTGAGTGATGATTTCAAGGGCTAGTCCTTTTACTTAGGAGTAGTATTTTTGCTGACATGAGAAGTACTCTTTTGTTTCATTTCACCTTGCTTAAATTTCAAATCTTGGGTACTTTGCATTTTAGCAACAATTTTGCTTCGCATTTTACTCTCTCTTTTTCTACTCCTCTATATTTACTACATTTAATCTTAATTATCATCTTCATAACTATCTTAATCATCCTCATATTCTCTATCAGGGCTTGCTTTTCTACTCTAACCTACACATTAATCATGCATTTCTACATCACTTTCGTCCTCACATTCATAATCCTTATGCTTAAATTTGACGGATGTCTAATGGCTACGATTATTGTTTTTAGCCTAGAGATTTTTACTAAAATTAAGATTCTTCTAAATAAGATTAGGTGTATTATTCACAGAATACTTTTTGCTCTCAATGAATTGTAGTGGTGAGAGATTACTATTCAAACTACTATTAGGTTTTATGCTTTTCAAGCCCTTATCAGTAGAATCTTTCATAATCAAATCTAGAAATGATTATGCTTTAGACCCCTTCCTAGATTAATTTCTCTAATTTTTATTTTTTAACCCCTTATTCTTTGCATCTTTCAAATCTTATGCCGCTTGACTTATTTTTGCTACATCACTATTAGATACCACAGACTGAGTTAAAAAGTCCTCTATATATACAAAAAAATGCTTTTCAAAAGTAGATATTTCATCAACTGTATCTTCCATTTTATCAGGCCTTTTTTCTTCTTCTTAATCATTGTGTCCGGAGTCACGTGAAGCTGCACTATAATTACTCTATCTACCAGATTTATTGCTTGTCCTGGAGCTCTCTCTACTGTTAATTTATTTATCTTTTGAAGTAACTTTCTTAAGATAAGCAGTATCATCTTTAAAGTAGCCATATCCATTCCAATAAGACAACAATTAAGCCTTTTAACTAGCATGGATAATTGGTGAAGAATAGAGGCCTCTTCTTTTTCTTTTACTTCTAGGGTTAACATAGTTTTGCTGTAACAATTTTTAGACAACTTCAATTTTCAAAGGACATTTACTTCTATGTAGGTAGCCAATTTTTGAATACTTTAGCACACTTTAATTCCCTAAAAGATTTTCAGTGTAGATTACTCTTTCGTAGAATGAGTCATTTGAAATCCAGTAGCATAAGTCCCATGGTAATCCATATTCGATTTTGACATCTTTTGTAAATGGAAATTTAAGCTATTGTACAATATTTTACAGTCTATATTTTGATGAAATCAATCGTAGTTATACCTGCAATTAGTCTACATTTTCAAATACTCTTAAGCATTTAAAATAGCCTCTTGATATTTAATGATCCTACCTAAAAGTGATTTCTTCAAGTCAGCATCTCTTTATTAAGCACCGAATCCGTGAGTTGTATCCAACAACTACTCTTATGCTCTAGCATATATCATTATAAAATCAAGATAACTTGTGAAATCACAAGAGATTAGTGTAGGTATTTTAGCTATAATCTCATCTAAAAGGTTAAGAGACGACATGTATACCAATGAAATTCTTTGATTAGTCATTCTTAACTGCATCTTTATAATCATTCAATATATCATTTGAAAGTAAGTGTTGGTGAGCTTACTTGAGAACCATTTCATCACGATAATCTTCAAGATTATCCTCATTATCATCTGATTCAGAGTCATCTCTAGGAATTGGTTTAGAATTATCATCAGGATTTGATTCAAAATCTTGTAGAAACAACTCTGTCAAATTGAGAGCATGAGTACTCTCTTTGTCTAAACCCTTGATTAATTCAGGCATATCAAGTAAAGAATACCTAAATTGTTAGTGCTTTATAATAGACTTACATAGAGAAAAGTAGAACAAGTCTATTCCTCAGATTGTAATGACAAACTATAGGGGAATCATCTAATGAAGATCTACTTAACTTCTACTATCTTAGGCAAGTGTAAAATCTGACTCTGTAAGTGTCGATATTATAGCGATTAGCATTCATTTTATCAAAGAATAAGTCATCAGTAATGAACTGATATCTGCAAGTGCTGCTTCCAGACATTGCTATTTAGGGAATTATTATTGATCTAGTCTTAGAAGATTGCATCCAAAGAGTATTAGTAGCATCAGTTCTCAAAACAGCAAAGTGTACTTACTTTAAATAGAATCCAGCAAATGTGTATGAGAATTCAACTACTAAGGAGCCTTTCTATAGGATGGGTTCGAAAGTCTCCTTGTTTTTGCATATGATATCGTAGATACTTTGAATTAATTCTCCTGAGATATTAGATGAGAGTTACTCAGAGTCATATATACAATTGAACTCGTAGTTGTGTAAATGCCTATTAAAAACAATCACATTCATTACATCTACGAATGGGAAGTTATCAGGCGTTATTAAAATGTCGTTTAGAACAAGAGCTTTAAGCATAGGATTCAAGCAACACAAGTAGGCTAAGAAGGATTTCTTGTCATTATAGATCACTCCATCCATGAGGATATTTGCACAACTCATTAATTCATCAAGGTAGGAGTAATAAGATCTGTAATTCTATCTCTTCTCCCTCTTAAATACAACTAATTCATTGAATACTTTACCAGGAGACTTAGTCTAGTAAGTTGAAAAACTAACTTCTCTTACTTTATGCCTTTGCTCTCTATTTGTTAGGTACTTATGAGGAAAATACATAAGTCTGTAATTACCCTAGAAGAAATATGGTGAGCCAGTTTAATGCTGAGTTGAACAACCTGTCTCCATTTTCAGAACATCATTGAGAGAAACAAGCATCTCCTCTAAAATTGCAACTTCTACAGCTGTATGAACAGGAAGCTTTAGTGTAATCCAATTGTACTTAAGAAATTATGAATCTTTATGATGGTTTCTAAGAAGAATATCTGATTAGATCTCATATTACCGTTTCCAATTGGGGGGTTAGAAATCCTTCAATCTTAAATCATTATTCTTAACTGCTATCGTATTGTACTTAATATGAGCAATATTTTCAGGCATAGGGTCCGGTTTAATTTCGACTGTTTATTTACCATGCCTTATTGAATTATCTATGACTATTTTAGATGTAGTAGTATGCCTTTTATGCATACAATAAGTTCTGAAATCCACATTATCTTTAGATAAGACTTTAACTTTTAGATGTAAATCGGTATAGTTCTTACCAATAGTATTTCTTAATTTAATGATATGATCTTTAAATCCGTGCTTAAAGTGATCGTAATAAATTTCATACGCATCACTAAGTTCTTTATCAAGCTTCTGGATCTCTTCCATTATCTTATCAAATGAAAAAAAATTCTTTTAACTTCTATGTTTATAAAGTGTAGCAACATCAAGCTATGTTTTTATAGATTTTACCAAAGGAAGTGTATTGAAGTAGAGAGAGTTAAAGTGTTTTACTTGGTCTTAAGAGTCAATAAAAGCTTCAACCTGTGCTTAATTATCCTAGTTGAATTTCATAGGGGTGTTCTTACCCTCATTATACTTTTGCTATTTCTTCTCGTTTTCTTGATATTTCAGTTAATCTGCAGGTAACCTAATTTATGTTTATTTTTGTGAAATCATTGTATTAATCTGGGTCTCCTCTTGATCTTTTTACTAAATTGCATCCTAATCATCTTAGGATTGTAAACTACTTGACTCATTTTAGATAATGTTAGGAACAGCTACAGCTCTAGAAGTTTGCGATTTATCACGATTTGATTGTTTAGGTACTTAAGACTATAAATTTAAATAATACCTTATCTTACATTGAAGTTGCTTTGTAATTAAGCCATAGTACTTTCCTCTGCTAGAGCATTTATGTCCATATCCTAAAAGCCACCAACATTATGAAAATATTACAAAAATATATCATATTACTGTTTCCTTTCCTCCTAAGTAGATTACTCAATAAGCTACTTAAATTTTTCAACAGAGGTTGGTTTCGAAGATTTTTCTTAGCTTTACGACTATTAGTTCTTTTGAGATTACAAGTGTTAATCAATTGCAGGGTTAACTTGCTATAGTTAGAGAGTTTATTCCTTACTCGCATTCTACTCATTAGCTGAATTATTTTGATCAAGATCTCCGCATTTTGAATCTTCGATTGAATAATCATCTGGTTGGAGTTAATCTGAACTCGCTAGATTTTGTTAGTGGAGATTCTCAGTAGCTTCATTCTCTGCAACTTCTTAAACTACTACCCAAGGAGATTTAAATTCAATAGCATTGAAGGTAATAAACTGTAAGTCAACTTCTGATCTAAGGTTTTCAAGATAAATCTAGTCCTATAATAATGATGTGATCGCATTTTCAGTGGAGTTCTAAATCATTTCTAAGATTTTCTCCTACTTTAACTAGAGATTTACTATTAGACGGTCTTTAAATTGAATGTCGAAGAAAAATTCTTTCTGATTTGAAGATGCTCCTAGATCGATGAACATCGATTCTGGTTTGTCAATTCTAGCTAGGATTATTGATGTTGCTTGCATTAATGGTGCATTTGATTCAAGAGTTGATTATTCATCGAGTAATTAGATAATTTAATGAATTCTGTATGGAGAACCCTTCAGGACTAAACTCAAGAGTGATATCTCTAGATCTGTTGAAGCATCATCTGGATTACCTGTGCCAACTCTAAATGTGATATACTTAGCAAACTTGATTGCTAAATCGAACTTATATGCTGAATGCTGATCTTAAGTGGGAAGAATTTTCAATTCTCCAAATCCTTAGAAATTTATTTCTTAGTTCTCCAATGGTTGGACTTCATTTGTTTCTTTTACTTCTGTATCAGCAAGGGAGCTTATCTCTTATTCTGCTATTTGGTTTTTGTCAGACTGATTAGGATTAGTATCCATTTGGAAATCTTGTTTAAAGAATTAACTATATTAATTTAAATCGAGGTTTATAAGATTCCCTATGGGTAAATGAATTACGTTTAATCAATAATTAATTATCTTCACTGAATTAATATACTAAGGTTAACTTAAATATATCTATTCGAAATTCATAGCTCCGCTATACCAGTTTAAAACATATTCCTGGACTTTCCTTCGAAAGATTAGAAGCCTTCTTCAAGTTAATCTTGCTTGCAGCAATACAGATAGTTAGATAATTTTAAGCTTCTTTATCAGTACTTCACTCTTACTACTATAGTCTTACAATAGATCTAATTTAATTATTATCTAAATATATATACTAATAATGAGATCCTAAAGTAGGGTAAGTGAAGAATCTTCTCTACTTGACCCCTCAATAGATCCTTCAGATTCAAGAGCCAAGTCTAGTAGTGTTGCATCCAAGAGATCAATTCTCAACGAATAATTCTTGAATAGTCTACCTGAGTAAATTATCAAGCAAAGTAAGATTACATCGAAAGATAAGAAGATAACATTATGGACTGATGTTGTTATAAACAAGAATTTCCCTACTACAGTTCAGAAGAAGAAATTTAGTTATAATACTGCTTAGATCATAAACTCAGGTATTGTACCTGAAGTAGTCAATGAATTACCCTAACCAGTTACAATAAGATTACCTACTGAGTGAGTAGAAGAAAATGTTAGAAATGTTGTAGATATTGAGAACCTGCTCTCTGATAAGTAACTCATCACTTTTCTTGAATTGCATCTCTAGACTCTTAAGTAGTTAAAGACAAACAATGTCCAGGTTGAACATCTCAACATAGATGTTGACTATATCATATCACTTCCTCTGTTCGAATGTCTTGATCAAGATCGCAAAGTTAAAGTTAAGTAGGCTTTGCAAAATCTTAATTTAAGATTCATGTATCCCCACACTTAAGTCAAAGCTGAAGTTGACTAGCCATTCCTTAATAGATGATAAGCAAAGTTGCTTTCAAAGCAGTATTAAGCAGTACAGATGTACTAACTAGATGAGTTGAAACCTAGAGTGATAGCTCACAAGTTGAAAATGCCAGTGAAAGATGTGTACTATTCTGTATAAAAGTTCAAGCAGGATATTAAAGCAATGGTTAATCCTCCACCAGTAAGAGGTAAACCTGGCAGGAAAAAGTTGAGAGATAATCCTCTCCTACTCGATGCTATCGAGAGGTTCATCTAACTCTTTGGAATCTATGATATAACTGCAGCTAAACTGCATGCCTACCTAGGCGATTTAAAACATCAAAATGAATTACCTGTTGAAGTTCATATTCCATCTAAGAATACCCTACTCAAGATCTTGAATGAAACTTTTCATCTCAGGTATGGACATTTGCAAGCAGCAAATCTAAAGTACAGAGATCCGACTTACAACAACAAACGCCTTTGGATAAGTAGACTACTAGGTTAGTTCATCCACGATGACTTCCTGATAGTGTCTATAGATGAAAGTAACTTTCGTTCAGACTCACTCCCAAGTATGTAATGGGAGTTTAACTAGGCATCTCTTAGAAGGAAATGCAAAGCTAAGGAAATTCCTCCACACCCATCACTCAAGAAGAGTGTAGTATTTGCAAGTAACTAATTCCTTACTTATGGCCACCAGTTAAACAAGTATGATGATGAGTTAGTTGACATAGACGAGTAGGAGTAAAGTGTCACTGATGAAAATCAGAATACTCTAAATGCATCCAACTCAAGAGTTCTTGAATAGTTCTAGTCACCAACTAAGCAGGTGTGGATGAATGATTTCGCTTAAATGCCTAAGAGTAGGCTATTAAATAATCTAGAAGTAATTCAAGAAGAGGAGGAATCTCCAATTCCTTAGACCACTGTTCGCAAGATGATGCTTGGATTACTACTTGAAAGTCCAGAAGTAAAAGTTGTAAATGATGATTCATTACCTACTCCAGTCAACTTAAACTAGAGACTAGCATCAGCTAGTAAGACTCCACTAGAACACAAACTCGATTAACTAGCAATATTCTCTACTCCTAAGAGAGCTCAAGATGATTAAGCATTGCTTAAGTCTACTAGTGTAGATGAAGTAATTTAACCAAGGAGACTAAGATCATTTAGTAATTATCATCAATCAAGCAACTCAAATGAGGAGAGTAAAGACAATTAAGTTGCACTTGCAACTGTAGGCGATTACCTGTAAATCCCTGAGGATTTACTTGAGTCTCAACTAGACCAGTAGTAAGATGAAACGATTGGAGTATAAAGTATAGATAATCAGTAGTTCAATTCACTATAAGATCACTAGTTAGAGTTACAACAAATACTTGGTAAGTATGGTACTACTGCAAGAAATGTTTCTAGAAACAAAGCTGTAACTAAGCGCTAGTAGTACTCGGTTTCTTTGCTTTCAGCAATCAGTTAGTAGCAAGTGCATGCTACTTAGATAATTGAAGGATCTGTTGACTCTACTCTCTTTGAGAACTTTGTTTACTAAACGCTTCATAGTATACGAGTAGATGAGTAATTATGTAGAAAGTAAGTCGTAATGTTCATGGATAATGCTGTAATTCACAAGCACTCGTATATCTTAGAAACTGCTAAGAAGTTCAAGGTCACTCTGCTATTTAATGCAGAATACTCACCTTGGTTGAATCCAGTGGAGTAATTGTTTGCTTATATTAAGAAAAACCTAGAGGTGCAAAACATCTAAAACAAGTAAGATAGTGGCCATTAACATTACTAGGAAGTAACTTGTAAGCAAAGTGTCCTCTATCATTAAGGACATGAATCAAGTCGATGTTGAGAACATCTGGACTTTCAGTATCAAGAGATGGATTGAAACCATCAAGTTCGGCACTTCTTGAATCATTAAAGTGCCCCATGTGCAATAACTTTCAATTAGAATTTTATCTAAATGGCCCTATATTGCCAAATTCTATATTTATAATTCCCTATTTTAATATCGTAACTCTCATTCCATAAAGATATTTCTCTCTAATCATAGTCACCTTACCTATCATTGATTGCAATTCATTATTTGCATCTAGTAGCGTACACGAGTACTAGTTAAACATCAATAATAATCCAACTAGATGATGTTTAGACCAAGTTAGTTGAATTCATGGTTTTCAAAATACCCCGAACTTGAGAGCCATTTACCATAAAAATTGATCGAAATGTCTCTACCTCACCTCAAGTAGAGACAACTTTTATTTCATTTATCGTACTTTCCCACTAGGGTTGATTCATCTCCATGAGTCTCAGACTCCATCTCTCAAAGGGTGCCAAAATAGAAATTGTAAAATGCCCCCCGAATTTTGGAGCTTTTTGGCCCGAACTTGGGAGCTTTTTGTGGCCGAACTCTGGAGCCAAATGGCTTTGAACTGGGGAGTATTTGCATCTTATCTCGACTACTAGTGATGGTGAACAGCTGTAACCCTGTGGGTATGATAGATCGATAGAGCATCTATACATATAAAGACACTAGGAAGGTGAATTCCCCTAAGTGTGTAAATGGGGAGGATTAAAAACGAAATTTTAACTTTTAATGGTAATCTTGTAGATACTAGTTGTATATAATTTGAGTATAAGAGTTGGTCATTTTGACACTTGCAAAAATTTCAAACACCTAACCCCCCCGTGAATTCCTCTCTAAATGATAGGTCTTGTGTTCAAATGACAGGATCAAATCACTCGAGGCCAAGGGGTTAGGTAGAAATAGAGTTATGGCGAAAAAGGTGGATCAGCCAGGGTATGGCTTCAGAGTCGTAAAATTTGGCTCCCAAGTTCGCCCCTCTAAGGACCAGTTGACTGTTAAATTATGAATTTTACCAGTAAATTTAAACATTCTTACTAACCCTGTACTTTTAATCAAATGATTTTACTAGGGATTCTGCTTAAATTCATTAAATTCCCTAGCAATTATTACTAAACCTGCAGGCTTATTAAAGTTTTATGAATTAAATTGGCTGGGATTTGAAATTTCCTAAGGAAAAGTCTCTAGGGAAAAAAGTCGTTATTCTAAGTCCTTTGCCTTAAGCAACCAAAATCTTCAAACCTACTACTATGAAGAGTTCTGATGGTTCCAACCATGCCCAATCAAGTGACTAAGTCTCAGAGTGATTATAAGTCAGCAGGTGCTTAAATGGCCGTTGCTTATGAAAGTTGAAGTGTCTAAACGGTGGGCAAGTAAAAACGTGAAGATGATGAAGATGGCAAATATGGCTGCCATTAACGATGTAATGTGTGAAAAGTTGAGAAAGTCGCAAAGTTGAAACATAGACAAGTAGACATTGAAAATTAAAGTAAATAGACTTAGAGTAAGATCAAATAATCAAATAAAATAAATCAGAAAATCAAGCATGTACACAAGTAAGAAGTCAAATAAGAGTCTTAACCCCCCTCATTAAAAAGCGTCTAAGAGAATTATAATAATTAGAATTTTCACTTTGGAATTTTCACTTTTCTCAAATTCAATTCGATTTTCACAATATGGGGTTTTGGGGTTTTGGGGAGATCGGAAGAGCAC